GATGCAGTCCGGCCAAAGTCCCCCGAAAAGTGTTGTGATGCGTATTTGATCATATACACATGTTAACTTGCGCAATATAAATATTGAATTATTTTTATTATTGTTATTATTAGTATTATTATTCGAGAGTACAAAAAGATCCAATTTTCAAATGATCACCTAATTCATAAAATGCAGGGGAAGGGAGGGAAGGCATTGTTTGACCAGGCCAGCACCTCATACAGTGTACGTTGGTGAGGTATCAATTTTTTTTTTTGTATTAAATAATTAATCAGTAGTTTCACTAGCAACCTTTGCTAGTTACTTTGATATAACATTTTAACTTAAATTATTTTATTTCAATTTTATTTATTATTTTTATAATATATATTTTTTACATTTTTAAATTGAGTTTAGGAGCGTGCTGTTGTTATAGAAGTCGCTTCCTCAATTTTAACGACTAACTTTTCCATTCATTTTACGTACACATTCCCACCCTTGCATACTCTTTTTTCCTTTTTACCCACTGATCACAAGAATGTTAATCAGTGGAGTGGGAACCCATTTTCATGGGATCCCAAACATCAACACCAAAGGAAGCCACAAAGGTTGCTAGTGAAACTACTGATTAATATATTAAATACAAAAAGAATCCAGGGAAATTAAAGGAGGGGAGGCTTTACTTGACCAGGCCAGGACCTCACACATTGGTTAGGTATCAAATTTTTTTTGGCACAAGAATTTTATATTTGTATTAAATCTTTACTTTTATTGCTGTAGCCTTTAATTATTAGACACTGCATGATCTTTTGCATGTGCTTTTCATTTAACAAATCAAACGAGGTTTTTCTTCTAAATTTATTTCAGAAACGTGGCAACCATTTAAACATTAAGAATCTTGACATCAAGGATATCAAGGTTGGAATGTATATGTCTTCACTCTTTTTATTCTTTATTTTCTATCATAAACCCATCGTTATTTCTGAAGAGTGTTGATAGCATGTTCAGCACTCTTAAGCTGCCGCTGTTTTTCGGTTGCTACAGTGAGTGGGAACACTGTTCAGGTTGAATTAGCTGCTAAAGTTGCCAAGTTGGTGATAAGTGTTTCCCATTGATATAACAAGCTGTTGTGTTTCTATTCCTCATTGTTAATGTTCTAAAGTTAGTGAGCATTTTGTGAAATTGAGGAGAAAGAGAAAATACTTTCTATTGTAAAGTAAAATAGCACTGCATGTATAGTAATAAAATTGTATGCACATGCTTAATTTACTTTAACCCCAACTTTAACCCTTTCATGTCACATCTCAAGGTTTGATACCGAGTAGATAAATATGGAGAAAGAGGCAAATTTGTACATTCAAAAAGAGGAGTGATGTCCAACATGTTGCCGATTTTGATGGATTTATTTATCTCCGGTCAACTTGATACCATAAACATTAAGTTGTGAGCATATTAGCAATCACAGCTTACGCGGCATAAGTGTCAAAAAACATGGCGCCGAATTGGCATCTAAGCTTCAAATTAAGAGGGAGGAAAGAGGCAAAGTTGCATAAAAAGAAAATGACAGAGTGCTAATATAATGATATTTACAGATTTGTTTAAAATCTGACTTTATCTAGACAGCATTAACACTAAACTATGAGCATATTAAAGCTTGCTACATATTAGTGTCAAACACTTGGTGCTGGTGTTGTAACTAAGCTTCAAAATTTTCTTGTGTTGCCATGGTGACCAAACTGGTTACAGCTTGGAACATTAATTGTTTTAAAAGCTAATGGATGTACCAAGTATAATTTAGGTATAAGAGGGGTTACTTTGCAAAGGAGATGTCTTTAATGTATTATACTCATTTTTGTGCAACCAGAAACAATTAAGGAAAAGGAAAAGGAGTGATCAGCAAGACAGGGTAACAAATATGGAGATCAAGGTCTGAAAATAAATATCTTGAATGCATTCCAAGTTTTGATTTTATTAACTGCACTAGTTAGTTATTTATTAATTCCTTTTATTCACTTTACTGTAATTCATGGGAACATTTATTTATGCTGGTGGAATTAGGACCAGCAGTGTGGTGATTTTGTATAGGATTGATAACTTAATGTTGAAATTTTTGAAACTGCAACTTGTGGTAATTGACAATAACAGATTTACTTGAGAGGAAGTTAATTGGATCAAACTCTTAAACTAGACCAGAATTAATCACAGATGCTTTTATCAGCAATGAAGAAGTGTTTTCATCATTTTAATGGCCTTTTTGAGGCTGGTGTAATTTCAAATCAGCGCAAGTTGCTTTGATTGTGGATCAACATACCTAATTAACATCATTTACCAAGTGACACAAATCATAATTGTGATTGATTGCTTTTCAGTGAAATTTAGTTAAAATCAAGTGTACTACAATTTAAAATGGCAGTGCTTTTAACAAGATATATTGAGTGTAGGGCTGCTTAGGCATCACCTGTCAGAAACTGGGCACACGTTCTAGTTTTAAGTGGAAGAAATCCAACAATACCTGAAAATGTAGACTGTAAAACTTCTGGGAGAATAAAAATACAATTATCCAGCAGTGTTAGACAATGGGAACAAAAAAAGGTCATAACACAACCAAGTCTGGGACATCAATAACAATAACAGAAAAACAACATTCACTGCTTTTCTACCCAAAACCTTAAGAACCTTTTTGTGAATCAAATACTTAGACCTTTCAATAATGCACATTAACTTCTTTTAAATGTGGATTATTTCACAGCACTTGTCAAGCCTATAATACTTAATTTTTTGGCTAACATTGTATTATGTCAGTGGTGATTTATGATTCTGGGTTTATCACTGACCAGCTTATAATAATGTGAAAGATAATTTTCACACAGCCCTCTTAGTGTGATATATAATTGCTGGTATCAATGGCAAAACATTCTGTGTTTGCCATAACTCAGCTGAACTCAGTGATCAGGCTTCTTTAACATGACTACAGGCCTTGTTTCACAGCAAAAAAGCTGCATTCGGTGATCTAAAGTGACTTGCAATTGTGTGCTTCTAAATTTCAAGAAAAACTGTGTTCTTTGATTTCACTCCTCCACAAATACAGCATTTACCAGAATTAGTTAATATACAACATATAACGAAATGTTAGACCAAGATTTACCAAAAACATGTGGGAGAAAGATTTGCCTGTGGTTTTCCTTGCTTGTGGTGGAGTCGTAAAGGAAGGAATTAACTCTTAAAATGCCTTTGCATTTCAAAGGTGTCTCAGCTATTTGTTCTGCTTAGCTTACTGTATCATGTTTCATTAATGTCTGCCGGATCTAAATTTAACACTGAAATGAGCCCTTTGTCTGTGTGGAATTCCTGTGATCACATTTCATTCACACAAATGAGATCAACATGAAACGGCCTAAGCATCATATATGATTTGGATCTAATCCAAGCAAGTATTCTATACACGTACAAACGTTTGCCTGTCTAAAGAGTGGATTTTTTAATGCTGTGAATGTAGGGCTTTATCATCATCCAGACGACGATTTTTATTGAGTGTGGAAAGGTCTTTTTTATTTGAGTTCAACACAACTCATCCGGTCTGTTCCAAATTTTGCCTCTGTCTGATTCCTGAAGGAGAAGCCTTCTCAACTTAGAACATGATTAAGCCACTTCTTCGCCGCCATAGTATCTCTACTGCAGCTCAGTTCTTTGAGCCAGCTCCTTCACCCACCAGAGCTGTGATCCACCAGGTGTTTAAATACTCTATGAATAGTATATTTAACATTTACATCAAATGTCCATTGTATCATTTATTTTTGGAACACAAACAATGTCCTGAGCTGTGAAATTTTTTGTCTCTCCCACAGGAACCTACAACGAAGAAGATTTGCCCAGTTTCCAGCATAACTGTGTCAGCTGACGCATCACCTGATGTGGCTAAGAAAGGAATTTTAGTACAGGTTTGTTCAATGCACATGCTTAATGAAATTCGCAAAATAGATTTGATGTTTGACAGTGCTGTTATTTTATTTCTCTGTCAGTAAAAGTGTGTATTTATATTTATGTCACTGGTTCTAATCTAAACCAAACATGCTAAACCTTTTTGGCTCAATTGCCATCAATCCACTATAAGTTTTTGGATTTTGTAAAATTACAATTTGCCCCATTGAAGAGAGGTAATTGTCTCCTCAGAGATCTGATTGATGCTTTGAACATCAAGAGATTTAATTATTCTCTGGTTCAGCAAAAATAGCATAAACTTATGCTTCTTTTGTAAGGAATTGAATTACAATGTTTTCCCAAAATAAGTGTCTACATGCTTTCAGAATTGTACCCTTTCATAGAGATTTAAGGTCTGCGTCTCTCGTTAGTTAATTAACGAGGTTATCAGCCTCTCCTATTGTTAACTGCTTCAAGATTTTAATACCAAGAGGTTTTTTTTGCCTTTCAGCGGTCAGTTAGTTTGCGATCCAGTCTAACAGTCAAAGATTCTGACTTTGCCAAGAGGTATAGACTTCTGCCTACTCCAACTAAGCATCGACCTAGCAAGGTATGGTCTTTGTCATTCAATTTATCTGCATGTTGTAACATATCATGTGCAGTTTCATGTAACCCAATGATTCACCCTGAATCCTCACCTCCTCTTATTCCTGGGCATTTGTTAAATTGTATGTTAACAGGGCCAAAAAAAAAAGTGAAGATTTGCAAATTTCTATTTTCTAAGGTTAAAAGAGGCAATTTAACCAGATTGGGTCCATACGAGAGGGATATATAATTCTTGTGTTTATAACAGTGTGCTATAATTCCACTGGGATTAAAAACATCTTGATAATTTCTTTAAGAAAGCCAGTGTCATGCAACGGTACGAGAGTATTTTTGGGATCTTAACTGCAAAATAAATGCCATCATTTAAGTATCATGTTTCCTTACAGAGATTTGAAATTACTTGTTCTGCACTTTAAGCAGTGAAAATATTTTCATAATGGTTCACATGCATTACAATGACTTTATTGTTACTTTCTTACAAGGTCATCGCAATACGAATTATCAATTAGGAATTCTTTGACCTTTAAAAGCCTACTAATTTGTTTTTTTGAGTTGAAAGCCCACACTTTGACATGAAAATTTAATTTATACTGTTTCTGATCCAATGCAGATAATCGTGTTAACTGCATTTGTAAATGCAGTCAAAAGCTTTAGTGAGAAACGGTGTTAACTGCTGCATTGTTCATTGAATTATTTATTGCATTTGACTGATTAGACATAATGATCAAAAAGTTAATACCAAAGTTACTATTTTTTCTTGACCATCACTGATTGAAGGGACTACTTTGTTTGCAAGTCATATTTTGCCTCAATCATCTTGTTTCTTATTTTCGTGGCTGTCAATGAAAATGTTGGCAGAAGTTAAAGTATTTTGCCACTCCTGCCGTTTTACAGAGTTGCATTCCAATTAGAATAACCACAAGCTAATTTTGCAAAGTAAACATAGTAGATAACAAGATGAAAAACCCCAACTGGCTTGGAGGAAATTTAATTTAACTGGCTTTTAAGAGTGCTTTTGATGTTAAACTTTGAACTAATATACAACAAAACAAACTTGAGGATCTTTTTAGTGGCAGTAGTAAACTGTAAGCCAAACTGGCCCATTATGCTGCAATGAAAAAAAGTGTACTTAACTAAATAATGTTCTACTATTCAGTTGAAAATGAATAAGTATATAGTACTTACTGTTTCAGTGACAACATTGAGATAAAAAGCTGAAAGGGACAATTTTTGTAATCAGCCAAACTGAACATTGATAGCGATTTTTTTCCTAAATGAAGTTCTTTCAGGTTTGCATTATAGGATGAATCTCTCTGCTTTAGAGTGTAGAGGTCTAAGATTTCTTGGTTTGTTGTCTTTCTAAATTAGTCTTGGAGTGAGACAGTCTCTAGCAATGGAATCAGTACTACTCTTTCACAGACTGAAATAAAACGACAAGAGGTGAGTTCAGAAAGTTTGAAGCAGTTAATGCACATAAAGACAATTCTCTGCAACTAGTCCACGCTACAAATTTCAAGTAATCATTATGTTCATGTAAATCATACAAAATGTATTGACCAGGTAATTTGCTTGCCATATAAAAAGTTTTTCTTAGCTCATTTGTAGAGTATTTTGCTTCCAAATTGGAAGCCCTGGGGTCCAACTCTTGCTGTGTACTTTATTTTTTTTCTTTCTCCCAAGCTTGATTGTGACAAAATTTTGGTTTCACCATGACACCATCTAAGAGATGCTTTTGTACTCAGGCTAGACTGGAATATAATTGATGTTGAGCTGCTGATATTAATGAATTAAAAAGATACAAAATTTCCATGGCTTTGATTTCATTTGTATAAGAAGTCAGTGTCCTCGCTATAAAATTTTAAGAGGCAAATTTTTTTTTCATGACAGGCTATTTATGAAGTTTGCACTGGAGAAGAAAATGTTGTGGCTGATTTGAAAATGATAAAGGAGGTGAGAGACAACTCAAGATTAGATATTTAAGTTGTGTATCTTGGAATCCTTTCCTAGGTTGATGTGAATTATGAGGTGTACCCTCCTTCATCATTGATGCCTTCCCTCAGTTTAAACTCTGCTGTTGAACAAGTCTGTGAACCCTTACACTCCCAGATCTCATTTAGTAACTCTCCTTACTGTCTGCAATACAACTCTTATGAAGTTAGTTTGAAGAATTTGGTATTGGATCAATCAGTAATCTCCTAATTGATATTTTTCTCCATTCTCGTCACTTTTCTGCTTGATACTGTATTGATAAGGTAGGGGGAAATTCTGTTTTGATCACTCATGGGAGTTAAAAAGCTCTCATTAGGGATCTAGTATGATCTGCAAAGCTTTCAGGGAAGAGCTAATTAGGGGCTACAGTTCCCACTAGCTATTGCCGATGTGCTATTGGTGAATCTTCGTGAGTGACTCCCATTTGAAAGTCAGACTGTCACTTTAAAGAAGAAGCTTTGTAATTTTTTATGAGGAGTTGCTAAATATTGGTGTCATTTGTTATCCACCACATCTCATGTAAAAGTCCCTGTATTAAATTATCTTCCGTACACTCTCTTTTTCGTTGTGATTGTGAGCAGGTTATAAGCCTGAATGTTGTATCAGGGTAGATTTTATCCTTGTCACCATGATAATGAGTAGCAATCGGCTTTTTAAGGGAGTTGCGTCTCTTGGGACGCTAATATTGGCTCATGTTAGCTGTGGTTAGCTACCCCATCCTATTCCCTATAGCTTTTTTTTTTTATTGGCTTTGAAAATTCCAAGTGTAGTTGTGGATGGTAACAGTGAATCTAGAATGTCCAGCCTAAAAAAGACAATCCAATGAGAACAAACTGTCCTCTGACTTGGATTGCTGGACCCAGAGTATAGCCTTATAGAGTTAAGCCTCTCCGCGGTATATGATACATGAACCTATCTCTGTAAAATGGGAAGAAGAAAATGATAGTTGTGGAAAAAGTGTAGATAAGGTCTTGCATTTTGTACACTATAATTTGTGGACAATTTTTTTTCTACTAGCTAACAGTAGGTTTTTTACTTACAGGTTTATTACGCGCCCATGTACAAACTAAAGTTAATGAATGAATATGAATTTATGAAGATCTTTGGCTGTTTAGAAGTTTTATTAGCTCTCCATCAAGGTAAAAACTCCTTAAACCTTTTAACACTGTAATATTCTCCATACTGTTCTCTCTACATTTTTTTAAGTTGCCGACAAGGAGAATTTATTTAACAATCAAGGGCTTCTTTTGTTGGTGATTATTTCCCTTTTGCTTGACAATGAGTTGCTATTGCAAGGAGAAATTGCCTATGGAATAAGGTTAAAATAGGCCAAAATACTCTTGGAAATTGTCTGTTTGAAGACTTCAACTCTGTTATATTGACTTGTTTTAGATCTGCACACGAAATTAAAAAATGCAAGATCAAGCGACGGTACAACGGATAGTATAGGAGACATTATGTTAAACTGGGTATGTGTGTGTGGAATTGTTTTGTTATTGTTTGAGTTTTAGTGCATGTTTCTACCATTAGACCCGTGTGGGACACCGAACAATGCTGTTTTCAATATCTGGGATGTATTTCTGCTGAAGAGAGTCGTTCATATATATATATCTTATTAACCAAGCGCGAGGGCCGTACTGGGAGAATATCGGCCCGAGGTCTTGACAGTACGGACCGAGCGCAGCGAGGTCCGTACAATAAAGACCGAGGGTCGATATTCTTCCAGTACGGTCCCGAGCAAGCTTGGTTAATAAAAGATTTATTATACGACTGAAGTTCAAAGGGACACAAATGTGGTATCATTCGGGACCATTCGGGACAGTGCCCGGTCCAATACTTAGAGAATATTGGACCGGCAATAGAGCATTTTGATTGGTTGATTTTAGTTATTGGCCCTCTGACTGCCCGAGTCGTGTAATAAATAAATATTTATCACGCTTTGTGACTGGTCCAGAGGACGCGCTTCTTTTTATCTCCACCTATCAGGTTTAAGTCTAAGACCATCAGCGTCTCGGCCAATGGCGTTTCCCGCCCTTCTGGCGGTTTGAGATCTCATCGGTTCCTTGTGATGTCTTCCTTTGTTCTGATTGGCTGTTATGATTGCTTTGGTTTTGCTTTTGCTTCTACGACACTTTTACAATCGTAAAACGCTCCAAATACAAACAGAACTTTTACAACAGGCAAAAACCATACTATTCTTAACAAATTATTGGCACTAATTTTTCTTTTTACTTCAGTTTCCAGGTTTAAGATGTTACGCACGATATTGTGCAAACCAGTTCGAAGCAAAAACCATTCTCGACGAAAAACTTCGTCAAGGTGGAAGCGTCGCCGACTTTCTGCAGGTAAATCGCGATTCCTGGCAGATCCTGACTTGACGTTTCTTAGAAATGAACATACTAAATGGCAATATGTTCCCTTTTTAGCAATATGTTCCCTGTAACTCTTTGTTAGAACGTTGGACCACTAAATCCCAAGGTCGGGGGGTCGCTTCCTCGCGAAGGGAAGAGGGTGGAGCTGGCTTTTTAAAGGCCTCACTCTCTTTCTATAACTCCAGCTGACGTAGAAGGGCAAGGAATTCCTTCCGTGAACCACACCTTGTAAGGTTCGTCTTCTCCGGCGAAAAGCTTCCCGCAAAGCGTGGTTTGCTTAGCTTTTCCCGATAAACGCCCTTAATTAACAGAACTAGAACAACGGAAAAGGAACGAGTGGTAATTATTAGATTTGCAGTTTGCGCGTCATTACAGCTTTTCCACCCACTCGTGTTTTGTTTTTGTTCTGATTTTGGTTTAAGGTTTTATTTTTTTCTCGGAACGATACCATGACAGTATGGGCGAAAGAGGGGCGGGCGATTTAACAAAGACGATTAACACACTGACTCTGATCTGACTGATAATTCTCTCCACTAACGTGTACCTATTTCCTTGTAAATCAGTTGAAAGAATTTGGCGGTAATCAGTAGCACACAATTCTTAACACCTGTGTCTTGAACGATATATGACTATTGTTAGAGAGAAGTTACATTTCAATCGCCTCTGGGTATTGAATAGCTAACTAACCCGGTAAAAAATTGTGCGCTTAGAACGATTTTCATTTTCACTCCCGGAGATTCACAAATTGTCGCTAATTTGTTTCGCTTGCCTAACTTCGTCAATTTAAGATTTGCCTAATGTATATTTTTAGGGTCTTTCGAATTTTGTTAAATCTATCATTGTCGTAACCGTTCCGTGTTTTGTGATCTTCTATTAATTTGGCAAAGTTTGTGGTTTTCGTCAACACCCTTACTTAAGTGTTTCGACTCCTGTGTTCGTATGTGCATCTTCCAAATTGCATTGTTCTGTCCTCAAGAACTTTCTGGACACTTCGATTGGGTGGATCACTATTTCGGTGATGGTATAGGAGTTGGCAGTTAATAACTAAAAACATTTCCGGCAAAAGCCGATGTGTAAAATAGTGCAAGAAAACCACAAATAGAACAAAACTATAAATATACCGAAAAAAAGAACAACAATAAATCCTTTCATCTCTTAGAACATTGTGTTTGATGATAAAAATGGAGACCCAGAACAAAACGAAACAAAACAAAATGCGTTACTCTCAGTCACTCCATATCTTTTGGTCCATTCGGAAAAGAGTTTCGCGAATGTTTGTGCTTTTTTTCCTTGCAATCCGTATTAATCTTTCCATTCTTTACCCTCCTTCCTCTTAGGTATTTCCTCTCCAATTTGGTGTTTTTCCATAATTTAAAACTACTATTTTATGGTGTCTTTCCGAGGTGAAATACTGTTTTTCTCGTCGCAACACACTACTCTAAACTGATCCAACTCTACCTAAATTGATCCAACGGAAATGATACTTTGGAATGCGCACGCGTGTGTGTTTTATATTTTATAACCACAAATCCACACATTCTCTTTTAATTCTTACAGAGATGCCGTGACTCGCCATTCAGTCGGAAATTAGATCTTTGGAGCTTTTTAGGTAGGTTACATCGCATCGCATAAGCTTCTTTTCCAATTACTTGGAGCGAATTTCCGGTGTTTAAGTACCTTTCATTTTAGCTCAAGTCTTGTTAATATAACCATTGTTTAAACACAAGTAGCATTGTATTCCAGGGGTGATTTTAGTTTTTTTTTTGTTGCTTTAAAAGTTTGTTAAGTCAGAGATGAAAGAGAGCGCCAATGAGGTGTTTTCCGTTAAGTAACTTATTCCAGTACAAAAGAGCTGACAATAAGGTCGAAGGAGCCCAACGCTCTAATTCTTCAGACTTCTTCACTCCGCTTGCAATGAAAACGAAAACAGTTTTGACGCAGGCAACCCATTAAAATCTTATGAACGAGGAAAAGCTGTCTATAGCTACTATACCGAGGCACCAATTAGGGATTTGTTTGGAAATTAGAATGGAGAATTGTTTTGTTGTGTGGATTATGCCTGTGACTGAAACTTAAACAAGCGCGCGTTTATGACTGACCGCACACAGAGCGTGTTATTGTTATTGTTATTGGCGCCGAATACGATTTTCCTGTTGCTTATCTTTTGGTTTAACAGGAGAAGGGTTACTAACAATGTCTCACGCAATAAGGAATTGCAGAAAAATAGTATAGCGACAAAAAGAAGTCTCAAGAATAAACTCACAATGTTGTTTCATAGACGTAGATGTAATTAGTAGCCAAGAAGTTTTAAAAAAGGACAAAGAAGTGAGCACTCCATGGTTTTGATTAGCCTTTCTTAGGACCACGAACTAAAGTGGTTTTTAAACTTCTTTAATTCCTTACGAAATGAAGTAGATAGGAGGGCGGTCAGAACTGTGAATGTGGAAAAATAAAACGTGGGATATTTTAAGTTGGGAAGCTCATTAATTTTTTCATTTTAACGCTATCATTTCTCGGGAAGCTTTGTTGTGAATGTGTGAAAACTGCATCACGTGTACGCTGTTTTGATACGTCGAGAATATCAAAACTCCAAATCTTAAAAGCTCTCGCGCGGTCAATTGAAAACCAATTATCGAGTAGTCTGGGTGATAAGCGCGCTTAAGAGTGCGTCATTTTTGTTTTTGTTTCTTTGCAGATTCGCCTAGGAGTCGCCTGGTAAAATACCCGTTGATGCTGCGCAGTATACAGAAATACGTGAGTAACACTTTCATCAAGTGGGTGGAATTTCCTGTTACTTTCCCCAGGGATTTGTACCACACGTGGAGTTCCCTCCCTCCCTGTGGTTTGGGCCATGCTTTATTGCTTTCTTCACTAGTCGCTAATATTTTCCTTCGATGGGCTGTAACTTCCGGCCTGTCAGCATATCACGTCCCTATTTTCGTGGCAGTCACTTAAAGTGGGAGTTGACTTTACAGCGAAAATTTGTGACTCTGCAAGATGACTGAGATCTGAACGGGTCGCACCGGCTTTTAAATTGTGGAGCCACTTGAGATATTTCGATTTCGGTGAAATTTTGATTAAGAGCTAAGGTTTGTTATTTTAATGGTCTGTTAATATCCTGTTGCTTATATTTCAGACACCGAAAGAGCACTCCGACTGGAGAAAACTTGAACGAGCGGTGAGTATTAGTTAGATAGGGGAATTTATCCGGGGAGGAAGGGTAAAATTCCTCAATCTTAGAGCAATGTTAGTGGGAATACGTTCGTGCCGTGAACGAGGGTTGGAATGAATTTGTGATGAAATTTAATTTAGGTATTATCATAATGGTGATATAATAAGATCAATGAAGGAACCTAAGTTAAGCTTTGGTCTGTTGCAGATTTGCCGTTTACAAGACATTATAGAAGAAGTGGACAGAAAAACAGGCGAAGCAAAGGTATATTAGTTCACGGCCGTTTTCTTTTTTTTTTGTTGTTTTCCTTTCCTTGAACGCAAGTTTTTTCTTCTAGTCTGATTTCAGCTTTTTAAACGGGATGTCTTTGTGTTGCAGTGTCAGGATGTACTCAGTAGAATAGTTTTCTTGGATGACAGACAGGTAATATTCAGTTCTGTTTTCTTGGAAAATCTCTCATCTGGGAAATCTTTAATTATTAGAAGGCGCGGGGAAATATGATCAGCGAAAAGAGCGGGAAACATGAAACTAGCTTCAAGACTGAGAAACATGCAAATTGTAACCAGTGGCAAGCGCGCGAAAGCTTGTAAGCAGTGCGAAGGGCGGGAAATCATGTAGTGAACACTAAGCGCAAGAAAATGTGAAACAATTGCTTATAGGTGCAATATTCCAAGCGCGCAAGTGCATGCGGCAAAGGTCGCTAAGTTTGTAACCTGTCCGTGCTGAGTGCAGGAAACTTGCAACAAATGTAAAAGGCGGGAACGCACATAACCAATGCCAGGCACCCAAAAACAGGCAACGGACCTGCAAGACGTGAAAACATTCGGGAAAACGTTACCTGATGATCAAAATTATAAGACCTAGGAACGAATTTGTCCTATCTTTTTAAGAAGTATCTCATTAGACATGGGTTGTTAAAATCACTCGTTCGCTCTAACTTACTATGCAGCACTGTTTTGAGTGAATTATCGTCATTGTTGTTGTTTAATGCAGATGTGCCCTCATGTATTCAAGGCCAAGAAGCTTTTATGCAACGGCACACTTCGAAATAAACATGGAACGGTAAGAAGTACAAGTGTTGTAAAATAGAAATAATTATAATGTACGATTAATTGACAGTCAAAGAGAGGAAAAGAACCTTCAAAGTGTTGACGTTGTTCCGTGTTCTTGAGCATATTTATCAACTGTCTCTGCCTCTAAATAATTTGGTTTTATCAGCTGACTTGATAGTGTAAATTGGCCACCGTGAAGAATTTTTAAAGCTGACATTTCCATCGTTAGCCCCTTTAGCTAGCCAACTTACATTATCAACACAGTCGATAAAACCAAATTATCTTGTAATATCCCCACCGACACAGCGCCACAGTTTCCCTATGAATTTATCCCTTTGTCATTCGTCTGTTCTTTCTATTCAGAAGCTACACGTGTTTTTGTCGGAGACAGTCTTTCTACTTACTCGTCCGGCAACGAGGCAAAACCGGGCCAGCTATCAAGTATTCACGCAGGTTAGTTTGCTGTTGTGGATCAGAGATTCTCTGCTTTTGGAAATGGAAATGGCTGATTTTCTCATTTCTTTTTTAGTAATAAGCTGCTACCGCAAAAGGTTTGGTAGATGTGAAATGAGACTTCGTAAAAACAGTAGTTGAAAAAAGATCTTAGAAGAATTTTGATTGCACGCCTCCAGTTCGTGTGCAAATGGCCGATGTTCTTAACTCGCGTTTAAACTTATAGGGCCGGTTATCTACACGAGTTGTAACTTAAACCAAGGTTTTACGCAATTAGTGGACCCTAGGCTTCCTCTATAAGAGGGTTGAGTTAATTAAGTAAATTTCCTTTCACTGTTAGCGTTCGGGCCTCTTGACACTGTTCACAAAAATAACTGTTCAGATAAAAGGTTCATCCAAATTGTGGATTGTGCAGGACGCGGTTTTGTTAAACAATAGAATTTGGGCCACTTATGAGTGTGGGAGACAACAAAGCATTTCAGTACACCTCAGTTATTAACCTTTTCCTATGTATTTGTCAGCCAATCCCAGTCGAGAATCTCTTGGTTGAAGATCTCTCGGATGGTGACGTCAGAATGGGGGGCTCCTTCAAGACAGCCATATCAAGACTTGGTACAGGTGAGAGAGAGAGAGCGTTTTCTTAGGTTTGCAAATGATGTACAAATTTCTAAGAAGAAACTGCGTTAGAAGCCACTGTTAATGCGGCCACTAGCTTTGCTACTATATCTCAAGTGATTAGGACCTCAGCATTTGTTGAAGCTAAAATTCTCCGGTTACTGACATGTTTATATGTAGGAAAGAGGCGCTGTTTTCGTATCTTTCAATAAATCACTTCGCAATCAATTGTTCGCTCAAAGCCATTCTTCACAGGCGATAATAATCAGTTCAGTGCCCTTTTCACAAACTTTTAGCGCACGTCATTAATTTTTTTTTTTTCCAACAGCAAAGCACGTTTTCCGAGTATCAAGTACAGACATAGAAAATGGTCAGTCGCATACGCTACAAGCTCCCACAGAGCAGGAGAAAAAACAGTGGCTGAATGCTATTAGAAGTGTGATACCCTGTCCGGAGAACTATAAGACATACCTTTGATGTAACGAAGGTGTTCACGTCACGCAACGCCTCAAATGCTGGACAGATGCGCTGTGTGCGTCCATACGCACTGAGGTCGGCTTTTTAGGAATGAATCCTCCAAATATTACATAAGGATTGCCCTTCTGTTGGAAATTATTTTTGCGGGGGCGATGAGTGTCCAAAATATCACTAATGCTGATAATTCTGAAAAAAATTTCTATCGCCGTTGGATGGTATTGTAATATCGGTACGAGATGCGTGAACCGAACTGAAATACTGGCTGGGTCTCTTATTACATAAAAAAAAAATTATGAATTATTTTATTTTGATTGTTTTCACTAAAAAGAGTTGTTTGGGATTTATTTAAGTCATGAGGTTGCGCCTGCCTTGTAGCAGCATCTTTCTCAATTTTGCAGAAAAAAGGAGAGTTTGGAAAAAAAAAAAAAACAAACAAAAAACAGCCAGTGCTTTCGCAGGTAGAGTAGTCATAGTTCTTCAAACGTACCGACAGGTTTCGGTAGACAAATATTCTCTCCAGTTTACAGCGAGCTGTAGCATAATGTTGTGAATGTCTTGTTATATTTACCACAAAAACTAGAGCTATTTTGTCCCAACTGTCGAAAGTGCCAAGTGCGACTGTTGTAAGCGCGGGAATAATCACTGGCAATTCACAATCGGTTCAAAAAAACGGGAAGAGTCACGTTAGTCGATTCAGGTCTTTGCACCCAATTGGCTCCGGGAACAGTTTTGTATTCTGATTGGTCAACTGAGAATGCACGCTATCTTCTGGCCAATCATCGAGTTCGGTCTCGATAACCTGGAGAAATCTCTATACACTTGATGCGTAAGAACGCTTCGTGACCGATTTTCGAGTCGTTTGAAAGCAGTGATCCTTTACAAAATATTTAGTGAAAATATTCTAAAAAGAGAAATATTTTAAAATTAACACGATACAAAATATTGCATTTATAATAATAATGATCAAATTGATAAGAATTTCTTTGGAAAGTTATAGTAATAATCATAGGTATACGAGTTAGGAAGAAATTAGGTGATCTACATATGAAATGAGCCAAAAACTTTACTGCAAATTTGGTTTGAAAGTCATACAGCTTTCTCACACGGTACATACGGCATTTTTGTGTACATATAAGTGGTGTAAAAAAGTAAAGAGATTTTTGACACGTTTACAATTGTCTTTCTCGCGTTGTATATTGATCAGTATACGTTTCATTAAAGTGCAAATTTGTTTCAAAAGTCATACGACTTTCTAACACAGTTCACACGGAATTTTTTGTACATATAAGTGGTGTATGAAAGTTAAGAGAGTTTTGACACGTCGCGTTGTGTTTGATCAGTTTACGTTTTAATGAAATCTTTGGTTTGAGAAATTCTTCGTATTGTAAATAGCTTCGGCTAATCCCCTTTTTCTTTAGAGCCAGAATTTATCAAACTTTTGTTTCTTGTTCAAGTTTGGGGTGGGACAAAACGAGTTGCGAAGCATTTTCCTGCGGTTACTACTTTTTACGTGCTTGTAGAAAGGAAACTTATCGTTATCTGTCCATACATAGCGACTTCGTGTCGATCTGTTAACAGTCATAACATGCTAGCACTTGATATTCAAGAAACCTCATGTGACATATGTTTTTTAATAAAACTTACAACCATCAAATTGTTTTCAAAATGTACTTCCGAAAAAATAAAAGAATAAAACAGTCAAATGTGTGACTTCTGTCATTACAGTCATGCTATATCTGCCTCACAGCGTTTCTTATCAGCGATTTCTGCGCAGGGAGTTTTTAAATCAATATTTCTTCAAGTATTTCGTATCGGTACCGAAAGGTTTTTCTCCACCCAAGCGGTTCAGCGAAGGAGCAATTTGTTGAAAGCCCTACCTTGTCTTCCCACTGTCGCGTTGTTACCCTTTAAAAAAATTCTGTACATTGAAATGAACCTTTACGTGCATAAAAGCATCCATTTATTGAACGTTTTCATAGTTCCACTTCACGTTTTTTCTAAGGCGGTTACGTGCGTTTTACGCATGTCGTAATGCATGCTTTAAGTATGGCGAAACTAACGCTACATTTATAGCCTTTGAGCCCAAATGCATCCTTGGCGAGTTTCGTCGACTCCCATGCGCTCAAACAAATTCTTTTATCGACCCTGTCTAAGTGGAAATTTTGAGAGACTAACTCTTGCCTTCGTTTAGTCTTTCTACGTCCATGTGTCCTCGACCACTCCTGAACACTGCCGTGCACTCTTGGAATCCTTCGCCCATGTTTGCTTGCTCCTAAAACATTTGAAACACGGTAAATGTTGTCTCAAAAAGTTGAGGTAATCCTGTAGCTTTCACGTAGTTTGTTGCGTGATTAAAAACAAAACATTGACGCTTCTCGCCGCCCGCGACGGCCTTCACCAAAAAAGAGGAACTGCTCTAATTCTAAGCTTTCACGTGGGCCCACTGTGCTACAAAGAACATGATTATATTATGTAGAGCGCACAGGATAGCAAAGTAGTCCCCTTTCTTTTGACAATTAAGACTAAACTCTATAGTCCAAAAAAACCCTTGCGCGTACGAAAAGGCATTGATCAACACGAATAAAAAAATAAGAACGTTTGTCAAGTTGTGCGTTTATTGAACTTTCTTATTGGACCATCAAATTCACATTAATTACTGAGTAAAATTAAAGCTGCATACAATCATATCCCTATTTATTGATTTTTACTTGGAATTACCTTAAAACTGATACATAAAATATTTAATTTACAAAATTAGTGTGTTTAAAAAATGTGAATGAAAACATATAGCATAAGCAAATTGTTAAAAAAAATAGCAATTGCTTTAAATAGTAAGCTATTCTATTATTGATTAATCTTCTATAAATGCAAATTCCTCTGAGTGAATGTTCTCTAGTTATACTAGAAAAAAATACTCAAGGTTACCGTGCACCTTCAGGGGTGTCTCGCGTGCAAGCGATGTAGCGCGTCCGGTTTAAACTGTAGATATCTAAACCCGTATATCAAATTAAAGCTTATAGGACTGGCTATCAGACTATATCAAAAATTGAAAAAAAAAAAAAAATTAATTGTTGAATTTTTCACGACTTCTAAATGCGAGCGCCCGAATCACCTTTTGAACGTTACATGTTAAAGCGAATTTTGTTTTTCGCTTATTTAATGTGTTCCTCCATTTCCGCGATTCTGGGGCCAAAGCGCTAAAAAAAAACCTGTCTCCGATTTACCATATTCAATTTCAATGAAAAGTTACAGAACATTTTTGAAATAGGATTAAAAAAATGTGCAGTGATTGTACAAAAATCGCTCTTGAAAAAAAAGTATTCAGAAATAAAAAAATTCGGAGACACGTTTTTGTTGTTTATATGTAAAACTAGCTGCTGTCAAAATTTGAGAGCAATCGAACAAATTCCCTTTGACTTGTAGCTCTTAAAAAGGTGATTCGGGCGCTCGTATTTAGAAGTCGTGAAAAATTCGAAAATTGTTTTTTTCAAATTTTTGGTATAATCTGATAGCCAGTCCTATAAGCTTTAATTTGATATAGGGGTTTAGATATCTACAGTTTAAACCGGACGCGCTACATCGCTTGCACGCGAGACACCCCTGAAGGTGCACGGTAACCTTAAAACATTAAAAATAATACTTATCTAGTCTAAGGGAAGACATACCATTAAGCGTTAGGGGTATTTCATTAACAAGCAATAGCTTTTTTAGTTGGTGATCATTTCCTTCACCCTCATCACCTTTATGTGTAATTCAGGTGTTCGGTACTGTGAGGAGAATCGCATCATTGAATAAAATCGCGCATTCTGATTGGTTAACGAAGCGAGGTATTTTAGCGTGGAATTGCGAGTTGAAAACGAGGCTAAGTGATATTATTAAAAACTGGATCATTGGATAATGCAATTCAAGACTTTTTATTGGCTCAGCCATTATGGTATATGAACCAATATACCATAATCTAATTTCTGTACATTGTTAAATCCGGTTTCTTCTCACAAAATAAAGTCGAGAAGATTTGTCTAATAGCTTGGGGGCGTTTTTTTAATAAAACAATTATTCCACTCGCGTTTGTTGGATATGAGATGATTATAGCCAACTCGGCGCTACGCGCCTCGTTGGCTATCTATCATCTCATATCCAACGCGCGCTCGTGGAATAATTGTTAATTGTTTCGCATCTACGTAAGCATAACAATTTTAAGTAATGCTCTTTCCATTTTTTCTCATTTTTATTCAGTTACGCGATTCAAGAAAAATCCATTACTTCACTCGTGAATTCCGCATTAAATTGCACTTGAAAACCGATATCGTACTCATCGCTTCGCGATTCGTGCGATATCGGTTTTCGCGTGCAATTTAATGCGGAACTTCCCTCGTCAAGTAATGAATTTTCCTATAGAATTTAGATGCTAAAGCCCCTCTTCGTTGTCAAAGGGTTATTAATCTCCCCTTTGTTTTCTTTTCCACCCTTCCATGAAAAAACTCCAATGCATGTTAACAAAGTTTAACTGATCCTTGCCTTCTACAAATTAGAAGACAAGCTATCAAAGAGGCTCTTCAACTTACAAGATACATTACTCAAGGAAATGAAAACATCACTGCTGTATACAGTGGTCCATGCAATAGTAATAATGGTTTTGGTCATTCTTTCACGGCATGTACTAAAACCAGGAACACCGGAACACCGGAACACCGGAACACCGGAACACCGGAACACCGGAACACCGGAACACCAGAACACCAGAACACCGGGACACCACGGAACACCGGAAAACCACGGAACACCGAATTTGACGGTGTAAAAAAATTTAATGTAGATGTAATTTGTTTACCCACGTGACACGAAAGAGTTTAGAAGCAGGCGCTAAATATATAGTTTCTTAATGTTTATCTTATTTCTTTGTGGTATAAATGAAAGTTGTTTTTGTTGTTGTTGTTGATGTTCTAGCTTTTAAAGAGATAATTAACTTTTTCCAATTACAAGCCCCTATTGTACTTACCGGAAGAACTCAGTTCAGCCATGTTGTCGATGTTCGCCTCGCACTTTGGGAGTTGACAGGATTCCTGGTCAGCTGTTGCTCAGTACAAAGGTAGAACCGCAATGCATAGTTTGATACTAATAGTTACATACTGGCTGGTTACAAGTTATCGACCTTTTTCATTTGGTCTTTGTTTACCCATTACAGACCGCGTGATATTCTCTGGAAAAAAAAATCTATTTGTATTCACACGACTATCTGAAAATTTCTCAAGACTATGATCACATAGGGGGCGCTGCAGTGGTGAAATGGCACTCGCCTCCACCCAATGTGACCCGGGTTCGCTTCCCGGACCCACCATCATTTGAAGGTAGAGTTTGTTGTTTGTTTTTCTCTAGGTTCTCCGGTTTTCCTCCCTCCACAAAAACCAACACTTCTAAATTCAATTTTGATGTCATACACATACACTTTATAACAAGCTCTAGGCTCTTTCGTTATACGAGGGTAAACAAATTACATTTACATTTTATTTTTTACACGATCTGTAATGGGAAAATAAAACAACACCGTCAAATTCAGTGTTCAGAGGTGTTTCGGCTGTTCTGGGGTTCTGTGATGTTCCGGGATGTTCCGGTGTTCCTGGTTTTAGTACATGCCCTCTTTCACTGATCCTTGCCTTCTAAAAATTAGAAAACAATCTATCAAAAAATCCCCTTTACAACTTAAAAGTGGCATTGCTCACGATAAACTAAGACATCACTGCTGTATACAGTGGTCCATTTTGCAGTAGTTATGGTGGTTTAGGTGACCCTTTCACTGATCCTTATAACACCTTCCAAAAATTAGAGGATGAGCTATCAAAAAATGCCTTTTCAAGTTAAAAGACACATTTTGCAAGGTGAATAAGACATCACTGCTGTACTTAGTAGTGCTCCGTGCAATAGTTATAGTGGTTTAGGTAATCCTTGAGGTTTTGAGGGAGGGGTAGAACTGGAATCTTGTCTCTAGGATGGCATGACAGCTGTTGCCTGATGAGACGACGGCAGCTTTCAAGAAGTTCGGGCGGAGTTTCTGGGGACAGAATTAAAACAGAATTGATAAATATATGGTAAAATAATACAGTAGGTCATATCAGAGTCTCAATGCAATCAGTTTAATGAAGCAGGCCAGCCCTAAATTTTTGCCAACACTGCCCATTGATTTGGTCCTGTTGTACTAAGATAATATATTATGTGTCTTTGTATGATTTACCCCAACTCTTCTGGATTGATTTCTTTAACTGAAGGAAGATTCTTAAAACTAAAGTTAATCTTCTTACTGTCTGCCATACAATTCATATGCTTTTAGTTTGGAGAATCTGGTATTGGATCAACTAATTAGCTTCCTGTTGATATTAAATTCTTCATTCTGGTCACTTGTCTGCTTGATATTGTATTGCTATTGTAAGGTGAAATTCTGTCTTGGTCACTCATAGGATTTAAAGAGTCAACACCTCATCTTACATCCTTACCAGCTTCAAGAAGCATCTCTTTGCAGACTGCATTAGTAGTTAAGTCAACAGGTTTCTTACTCTGCTGGTCTCTCAGATAAACATTAGCTCCATACTCAAGGAGGAGAGCTGTACAGACCTCGTCTCCATTCATTGCAGTGGTGTGCAAGGGGGCTTGATGCCTTTTGATGGAATTTGGGTTTGCCCCAGCCTGAAGTAAAACTATCACGCATTCAACATGACCCCGCAGACAGGCAACATGCAGAGCTGTACCAAACTGGTTTTCATTTTTCTCCAGGTCTGCACCCTTTTCAATCAATATTTCCAAGCATGGGATGTGTCCATTTAAAGCTGCTTCGTGAAGGGGTGGAAATGTCACAGTCAGTGATGGGTTAACTTCAGCCCCACATTCTATCAAAAGACGAGTGCACATAACTGAGCCCTTGGCACAAGCAAAACACAATGGAGTACTTCCATCTATATTTCGTGCATCTGTCTGCCAAAAAAAGTAAAGAGAAGATAAGGGCCGTTCTATAATATTGCATTATATTGCACATCCTTTCTGCTCAAAATTTCACATGTAACTAACATGTACTCTTTTTCAAAAGCAACATGGTGACCTGTAATGATTTTCTCTTTCTTAGAATCGTGCAATGAATTTCTGGTAAAATTGAAGAACAGCTTCCCAAAATATCTCTTGGCTGACTGTTGGCGAACAAAACACAGAAACATAATGAAAATACGGGCTCAGGCAATTTTGTGAGTCTGAGAAAAAATTTGCTCATACTGCTAAATCTTGGTAACTAAACTCTTCCAATTTCAGTGGAATAAAATGTATATTAAACCAATCCTCAGTGTAGTAAAAGGAACAATTTTTACAAAACACAAATTTAGTAAGTACTCCAAAATAGAATGGTCACAATTTAATAGGAATTATCTGGGTATCTACAAGGCACTGCTGCCTCTTAAAAAGCAGGGAGCCCACCTTTGTTAATTCAAAATTTATGTCCCTATAAGATAAACAACCAAGGCATTTTACTGGCACAAGTTCATTGCAAACTCACGGTCATTTATCCAGACAGTCATCTATGTTTGATTTAGAGTTAGATTGGATGATGGGGGAGGGGGGAGAGGGCAGGAAAAGAGGAGTGATTTCTAGTGCCCCACCCCCTCCCCTCTCCTTCCTATTGACTGTCCCTCATCCCCTAGGTGTATTTGAGGGCTAATCTCATTTTATAATGAAAAATATTCACCTAGTTTCTGCATAGTTTTTAAGACATGTCTTACATGTATACAAAAAAATCAACTCAAACCATCTTCAATAAAGCAAAAAAAAAAAAAAAATACAAATGGAAGCCATGATCTTTTAAAGAGCTGGCACAGTTTAAAAATAACAAAAAGACATTTTTGAACCACCTTACAGTATCCCATCAATTTTATAATTTGGACACAGGCTATGCAAACTTACATCAGCTCCTTCAGCAATTAGTAAATTGACAGCCTCTGTATGACCATTCAGACAGGCCTCATGCAGAGGGGTCATGAGGTCAACTGTTCCTTGATTTACATAGGCCCCCTGAGAAATCAGCATCTTCATCATGTCCACATCTCCTTGTCTAGCCGCAATATGAAGAGCTGTTTGCTGATTAAGCCCACTTCCGTAGTTTATGGAGACTTCAAGACATGCCAACAAATTCTTGATATATTCTGGTGGATACCTGTTTTCTCGGATTATTTGCTTAAAAGCTTCACTTTTGTCCATGTTTTGAGACTTGTTTCTGTTAGACATAACAAATATCACACCAAAAAGGCTATTTATGATTTAGTACTGATCAGGGGGGAGTAGAAATACTCCTAGTTGCTTTATGCTACGGAAACCAGAGTTAAAGTGCACCTAAACCCAAAATGTTTTTTCGCTTAACGAAATAAGCTTATTTTTTGGACTATTTCTGTGCAAAAATTTTTTAATTTGCTCAAATCTTTAATTTTCTATGCCCAGTCAAAATACGGAAAATTGGCCGCCATCTTGCCCCACGACTGAGTTTAAACAAGAATGGCTCTAGCGGGTAATACATCTTATTCCAAAATAGCCACCATTGTATTATTCTTTTATACTTATGTTAATTGGCCCTCGATGCCTCGATCGCATCTTCAGAATTGAAAAGAATTTCTTGGTAGAATCGAGGCATCGAGGGCTAATTTACATGAACATAAAAGAATTATAAAGTCTCAGCCATTTTGGAATAAGGTGTATGTGACGTCAAATCGAGAACACGAAAGTCTGCATCTCACACATTTTCACTTGTTTGGGAAGATTGTCGTCGATATTGTCCGAAATATGCCGACTAGGTGTGTTGTATGAGGAATGTATGAAGCGCGATACCCTCTTGCAAATTTCGCACGTTGCTACATCCTTCCACAACACACTTAGTAGGCATATTTTCGGACAATTATCGACTACAACCTTCCCAAACAAGTGAAAATGTGTGAAATGCAGACTTTCGTGTTCTCGATTTGACGTCACATTACCCACTAGAGCCATTCCTCTTTAAACTCGGTCGTGGGGCAAGATGGCGGCCGATTTTCCGTATTTTGACTGGGCATAGAAAATTGAAGATTTGAGCAAATAAAAAAATTTTTGCACAGAAATACTCAAAAAAATAAGCTTACTTCGTTAAGCGAAAAAAATTTTTTGGGTGTAGGTGCACTTTAAGCACCAGCCTGATGGGCCACTTGGCTCATAAACAGACTTTTACAGATTTCTATAAGAATTTACATCAAAAAGTATTCCATATCATTCTTCTATTACACCAATTTACCTGACTATAGACCAATAAAAAGATATGGCATGGAAAGCAGAGAAAGGAGAAGGGCGCACTGAACACCACACTATTTACAGCCACATACTTAGATGCTACCTCTTCGAACAAACAGATTCTGTGTTACCGTGTCTTTTTATAGCACTTGACTGATCGCAGATGACATAAAACGTGGCAAACAAGGCGCACTGAGTGTGACAGTTCTTTTGTTCTCATCTCATTTTTGACGTCATCTGCGACCAATTACAGTACTGTAGGGAAAGAACTGAAGCAATGGAATCTATCTGCCAAAGAGTTAGAGAGTTGCTTCACAATGTGAGGTGGTACACAACAACCAAAATATAGGCTAAACTTCAGAATACCCGGCCACTCATTTACATGTCATTGAATAAGAATAGCATCTATTGTGTTATGCTTCATTCTTCAAAGCCTCCCGACACATGTAAATGATGTGGACGGGTATTCTGAAATTGCTCCAAAATATATACGAGGCAGTTATATTGTTAAGATTTGGATAACTAGAAGCTTAAAACTAAAACATTTAGATTGTTTGCTTTCGATTTACTTGTGTGGAGCTGATTCAAGCTTAGTATGACTCATCCAATGCATACAAGCGAAATCTTGAACTCAAAGCAAAGCGAGTTGCCTAATATTGTGTGGTTGTATACAAAATAAAATAAAAACATTAACCTGTCTTGTAATAAAATTTTGAAGGACTTGTAGATTTATGCACCTATTAATGTCTGGCCCCAATGGGGGAGCCCAGGCATACACGGCCTATTGACAAAATAACCTTGCCTGGGGGAGGGGTTGTAACCATTTATTGACACAGGGTTCACCCCAGGGTAGGGTCTATTAACCATTTTGTCAGAGGACTGGGAAAGAGAGAGTCGAGTTGGCATAAATCAAAATGGCGGCTTTCACGCCAACTACGTCAACAGAATTAAAAAAGGTAAGATTAAACTTACATACCTTCAGCTTGTTTATTTTCCATTTTTTAATAAATTAAACATGTTTCTTTCCTCCTTGTGAGGGGCCTATTGTCATTCTAATAAGGCCCTCCAGTGGGGCTCATTGACAATTTTTTTTCAAAGATGTCAATAGCCCCTGGGTATGCCCGGGCTCCCCCAGTTAGGGCAAGGCATTGATAGGTGCATTACACTATTCAATTGGATTATCCGCATTCGTGTAGCTGACTAGGGGTTCGCCCTCGTCGACATGCAACATAACACAAAAGGTCTTGAGTTCGTGAAATAGAGGAGAAATAGCGCAAAAAGGGTCACTTCAAGTGTTCCCTCTAAGACACTAGCTTTCGCACCCGTAGAATAACTATAATCTGAAAATGGATGTAACAATCTATGATAAATACGACATGAGTTGCAATTTTTTTGCCAAAGAAGAAATCAATGGCCGCTATGTCTCTCAAAACACTCCCTCGAAGCATGTTTTGGAATAAGAATAGTATGAGAAAACTTACTGCCCATGTGACTTCCTATGGATATCGTACTCGGTGATCGGCGATCGGTGACCGCGGGAAGAGGCCGGTAAAGGTATGTTTAAGGGAGCGAGAGTCCTTTCTAACAACAAGGCCTGGTTGTATACGCAGCTTTACAGTTCTCCTAGCGTGGGGGAGAGACTTGGGGAGAGAGTTTTGCAGTCAAAGAAAATAAAAAAAATAACACGTCATTAGAAGTTATCATTTTTTTAAGGTTAGATTACAATTATTATGTTTAAGTATAAAATTTTACTTGCTCGAGTGACTCGAGAGAAGAGAAGAGATTCATTACTTCACCCTACCCCAGCCTATGTGCAGCCGTACTCTCCCCCGCCGAGAGGAAATGGGAGGGAGGGGGTACGGCTTCATTCACGCCTACCCTACCCCTGAGAGTAAGGATAAATTTTCATTCCCGCGCTTGTCCCGAAGTTCCATGTGAAACTTCGTGAGAAACGTTTATGTGAAGCTCACGAGGCTAGCTGGAAGATCGAACAAGAATGCACTGATTTCTTTTCGAAATGTAGGGTATTAACATTGTTTGAAAGTCATGAGGAGCATAGATAGGGAAAAGAAAACCCTTTTGCAATTATTTGAAGAAAATGCTTGCTCCGAAAGCGTTGAATTTGGACAACGATTCTGAACGAGCCGAAGACGGGTCGTTACCAGAAGTTTTGGAAGATGACATTTCGCTTGCTGAACGTTTAAATTTGCCACGAATTAGCGGTCAAAATACTGCAGGAAAGCAGCAGATACGATCCTCTTTTCAAAAGAAGGGTGGATTTGTTATCCCACGAAAGAAGAAGCAAGCGAATGGTATGATCTTTGAGCTTTAAGTTTTTCGATCAGTGGTGTGACTTTCAAACGTGTTAAAATTTCTCGCTCGCTTTTGTGCTAATGGTTCGCGTGTTAGTTTTGCGTAGAAACCTTTCAGGACTGAGTGAATTTGCAGTCCTTAAATACAGATATAGTTTGACATTGACCTTCCTCTTTTACAGAACTTCTTCAGCCTTCCAGTTTTGATACCAGAGAGGGGAAGGAGTTACTTCGGAATGTCGCGCAATCGTATCGAGATCCCGTAGCTGGCGCTACGCTTAAATTTGAAAAGCTCGAGCTTGTATTTAATGATCAGCTGTCCCGAGAGGTGAGTCATTTAGATTAGTGACCATTCCAAGTCCGAAGTAAGCTATGGATTTATTTAAACAACGTTCCACAGCATTCTTCTGAACATTCTTTGGGCCCTGTTTTAATCAACAGTACCAGGATAAAAAACAGTCCATGCGGAACGAATGGCGAAATTCTAAAGAACTTGAAGACAAATATGCTTTCTTCTACACTGTTGATCGCGAAGAGGTTTGAATAGCTAAACTTAATTATATTTAGTTTAAGTTGCAAGTTTTGCAAAATTAACCGAGTGTTTCGTTTTCATACACGTTTGCTTCAAGTGAAATTACGAATAGCGTAAGTGAAATGGTTTATTTTGGATCTACAGACTTATATTTTCGAAAGGAGACAAAATTTAACTGGAATGATTTCATAAATTCCTAACTTTAAGACACTTGCAGTTTGGATTTGAACAACTGATAATAAAATTCTTTAGACTTCCAATTCTAGGTAATGATAAGAATTGGAGAATAATGCTTGAAGATGACAATTTTTCTTTTACTACCCATCGCCTGTGAGAAAACTTTAGTTTGTGCTCTCAGTTGAACAGATTAGAGAAGAAGATTGCGAATTTGGGATTAACCAAATGGGTGTATTTGTCTAGTTTGATACATAAAAGAGCATAGCATTTTTCATCACACCTCAGCTGCTTCTGATAATTGTCTCGTTAATGAAGATTACAGTAATACGTGAGAAATCTGGTTTCCTTGTTTCTAAAATGGTATCGCACGGAAAGAAGTTTGATAATTAGATTTGATGGGTTGTAATTTATTAAGCTCGCAGTATTTCAATGTTGAGGGAAACAAGAATTTTGCTTGTTTCGTCCGACCTTGGCAGCAGCTGCTTGGTTTTGTGTTTTGCACAAAGATATAAAGGCGAATTAGAGGGCCGGATGGCTAGAAATAATTTTAGCCCTCTACCTCATAATATTTATTTGATGAAAAGAAAACAACTGCAAAACTAGTATTGTAACTTTGGAACTGATAGTTTAGGTAGTGATTATTAAAGTTCGGTCGATTGTTTTAACCAAGGATTAATGTCACTTTTCTCCATTAAGACACAACACTTGGCAAGCTGTGAAAGAAGTTATTCTTTGTACAAAATGAATGTTGTTAAGTGAACTACAGTTTGACAGGGAAATACTGTTTTATTCAAGTTTTGAGTAACCTACTTTTGTCTTGTTGTGTCAGGCAAGGAAAATTTGTGAAAATGGATTGGAGGTTGGTTCAACATCATTAACATGTTTGGGAGATCCATCAATGGGTAGGTACTTACGAATAATGCACTGACAATGTTATAATGGAGATGATATAAATCACTCTTTTGATTCTAAATAGTTAAACCTGATCGTGCAGCTTCTTTACATTTGATACTTCAGGTGTATATCTCAGCCGTCATGCTGACATCATATCCAGGAAACCTCTTGTTCAGGGTGCTCTGGGATATCTTATTATTTTCAAAGTCATCAAGGTTTGTGTGCAATCAAATTGTGTAGAGGAACTCATTGCTAATGAGAAATTCACCTTCAAGTGTTCTGCAATACACTGCAAGGTGAAATTCTCTGGGTATCACATATCTCCATTAACTAGAAGATTGGTGATGAAAACAACTTCAAAACTTGCTGCAAACACTGCTATTTTCTTTGTTTGAGAAACAGCAGGAAAGTATATATTTCTGAGCATTCATATCTTTCTTTTTTCCTTTTATCTTAAAGGGCAAGGTAAAACCAGTTACAGAACGGAATGCAACAACTGCTAGTGACCTACTTGAGCCAACACCAAACTTTGACTGCCATGTTTCGAGATCCCTTCAGAATCTTCAAGCAAACAGTCCCCTTAACCAGGTGTTTGAATACTCACAGGTGGGTTTGAAGTACATTATTTGTGCATTAGGGTTTCTTTTTACCCTATCACTCTCAGATCTTGTTAGAAATTCTCCTTACTGTCTGCCAAACAAATGTGTTGATGTTGGGAGAATATAGTATTGGATCAACTAATAATCCCCTTAGTGATATTTTTTTTTATTCTCATCACTTGTCTTCTTGATATCGCATTGATATTGTAAGGAGAAATACTGTTTTGGTCACTCGTGGAGTTTGAGGGTAAGTGTAGTAACTAAACTTGTCATATGACTGCATGGCCTTGTGTATGCTTTAATGAAAAACCTCTTAAAAAAAACTCCTACATTAGGGCTGTATACAGGGGCTTGAGTAGGTGTTGAATAAGCTGGTTGACATTTCACGATACGAAGAGCCTAAACAGAAAGCAAAAAAAGAAGGGAGAAAATGAAGGAGCAGTTGTCATATGATAAAATGCTTAGTGACTGAGTTAGAATGAGCTAGATGGGAAAATATTTACCTCTTGATCATGAGATATGGATGGAGGGCAGCAAGGTCTGTATATTCTGACCTAGAGCCAAATAATTTCCCACATGGCTGTAAACTGATGTTTTCTCTATTAATGCCTTGAGAAACTCATCACTTTATGGAATGTTTGTTTTCTTTTTTTAACAGTATTATTTCTATGAGTTTGCTGAGGAAGGTGATGACCTTCATGTAAAAAGGCCACGGCATTGTCTTCCTTACGCTGTTATCACTTTTTCCATGGGTGATTCATCTGGTCCTCATCAAGAATCTTCTATTGCACAGGTGAGGTGGAAGCAAAATGTAATGTTTGTCACCTTTTTAAAATCATATAATTTCTGATTTATGCATTTTTGTTAGGAGGAATTCTCAAGTTTAGACAACAGTGGTTTTTCATTGCCAGCAAAGGGTTTTGCAAGACGCGAGACAAGTAAGTTAAACTGTGATATTATATGTCTCCTCATTATTTTTAAAATGTGTTGGTATTTCAATATATCTCAAATTATTTTTCTTTTCTTTTGACACCCAAATTTTATCTCTGGCAACCACTTTATGATGTAAGTTTTCCAAATGGCAACTTTGAAAAAAGCTATGTGCTTGGAGAGCTATGATGGGCAGACATCCCAGCTCTCTGTGGGACACATTGGACCACCAATGTGGTGCCTAACCCAGGACACATTGGACCACCAATGTGGTGCCTAACCCCGGACACCTTGGACCACCAATGTGTTGCCTAACCTGGGACACATTGGACCACCAATGTGTCTCGGGTTTGATTCCCGGACCCGGGGTCATAAGTGGATTGAGTTTGTTGGTTCTCTACTCTGCTCCTAGAGGTTTTTCTCCAGGTACTCCAGTTTTCCCCTCTCCTCAAAAACCATCATTTGAATTTATTTAATTTAGAGTTTAATTAAATTTCCAAACGACCCCACAAACTGTTCAGCTTTAAACATTATCGTGTCTAAATAAAGGTGTTACTGTTATTATTATTATTATTATTATTATTATTATTATTATTATTATTACATGTACTCTATATCTTGTTCAAAATCCTGGTAATTCATTTGACACACTTAACAGGAAGAATTTACACTATAATGCACAGGTAATGTTTCGTGCTAAATGATGTAAATCTGTTATGGTCAGGAATTCCGGATAAGAGACGAAGAAGCAGCCATGTTGTTTGGATGGGAAAGATTACAAACAAAGACAGACTATTGGCTAATGCTCAGCTTGTTTGCCATTCTACGCAGAAAATCAAGCTTCCCTTTGAAATGTAAGTTAACTTTACTATGAAATAATTTGAATATATCAACAAAGTTGAAATGGTAAATTGGCCACCGTTACGATTATAAAAGCTGACGTTTCGAGTGTTAGCACTTCGTCAGAGCGAATAGAGGAATTGTGGGTCGTGTGTTCCCACCAATAACGTAGCTCCATTTTCTACCTTTAAAGTTGAAGTTCATTTATTTGTTTAAGCAGGTTGATTAGTTGGCAGCTGTAATAGCTGATGTGGACCTGCTGTCCTAACCCACCCATCCCACCCCAGGGGAGAACATCCATCACACAGTAATCTCGTGTGTGGGAAATTAACGTCTCCTGCCCCAACCCTGCAGGAGACGGGACCTCCATTTATTTGTCCCTATCCGAGAAGACTAGAATACCTAACCATTTCTTGATGTTATAGAAAGGTAGCAAATTCTTCTCAATTATTTTAAGACCTTGAG